GCAGAAACATTAGTACAAAGGAGCACCGAATACATATGCACCACATAGGTCACTTCATTTGTGTGCGGACTTTGATACTACTGCCCGGGTGCCCTAACCAGAGCCTTCGACCTAAAGGTCTAAAACACTAGGCAGTGGAACAAAGTCAGGAGATGCAGTCCCATGGTAGACGGCGACCAATAATTGGTTCATACGAGATTTGTTCCTTCAGGATCCTGGAGACTATGTGTAGCATTGGTTTGGAATGAGGGTTTCTCAACTCCCCTTGGTGGATCCATCAACGCGGTTAAAGCGCCAGATATTCACTTTCTATCCTCTTAATTTTGTAAACAACAGTAATGCCACGAAAAATCACTGGGTAAGAGTTCTCTGACAGTGGCTGTATAAGCGTGGCCATTTGAGAGCATTTTGAGAGGGTGAGCGGACTCTCCCAACTCTCAGCGAACCAGGGCATTTGGGAGCAACTATCACGACCATCAACAACAATGTACAAGTATTTATAAACAATTAACTACACGAAATGCTCATTATCCGTTGACCGAATACCATTATCAACAACTTACTGTGGGAGAGAACAAACTATCTTCCAACTGAAGAGGAAATTTAAAAAAAGACACTAGAAGTGGATAGGACATACATTATGGAAATCAACAAACTGCATCACGAGGCAAGCGTTAACTTGAAATCCTGAAGGGAGACGGAAATGAGGAAGACCAAAGAACACACTACATCGGGAATAGGGAAATAGACGTAAAAAGGATGAATATCAACTGGAAAGAACTAGAAGGGATTCCTGAGGACAGGGTTGGATGGAGAATGCTGGTGTGTGACTTATGCTCCTCCAGGAGGAGTAACAGGCGTAATTAAGTTTCCATTGATTATTCGTATGTAATTCTAAACTGGAATAAAATGCACATTAATATTCTCTAACTCACGGCGATATTGTATAACATTAAATTGAGAACCATCTTCATTGGAAGGAATTTTTAACGCATTGGTTTTCCGAATCTGTTAGTGAATGATTTCTATTAAGAACATTTACTGATAATCTGTGACGTTTATTTGAAGAATAAAAGTAGAAATTGGCTGGCAACTAGAAGCAATACTGAGCTTAATTCAGTATTATGGCAGACGTTAGATCTTAATTGTCAATGTTAACCTTGAAGATCTATGATTGCTTGTTTGTTCAACCATTGAACCTAGTGGACTACTTTCTACATTCCAATTATTCCTCTCTGAGTAGACACTGTTCTATAAAATTTTGCCATTGACTCTTCCAAACAACAGATCATCAGTGTCAAGCATACTATACCGTTAGTATTGATTTGATCATATCCATAAAGTCACAACTCAACCATATGTTTTAACGATCAGGTGATTAGACGGAGACAAGATTAGTTAGTTAATTACTCAATGGTCAACTAGCTTAAATATCTCAGTCCTCAAGGAAATCAAGTAGAATAGTACGAGGAATATATACGTATCAAATTCACTTGGTATTGTTTACTTGAATCTTTCCATTGGTGTTTAGGACTGCACTTGATCAGTCTCTTATTAGCAAATGTGAATCTTATACGAATTGCCTTGATATTGCCTTAAGTCACAGGCATTATAAGTAAAGATGGATAGTGGCTAGCAATAAAGTTCAGGACGTAAGTTCTGTTCTATTTGGAACTTCGCAGTTAGATTTACCTTTATTCCAGAGTTGATGTTCACTTCTCTGTTTTATTCTGTTTAATATCAGTAGTTTTATGAATAATAATTCTTCAAACACATTAAATATTTTAATAGTTAAATACATGAGTTGATATATGCTAGACCATCATTGGATACTTGGAAGCACTGGATGACCCTTTCGTCCTATCTTATATTGATTCATGAATTCAACTATTAAAATAACCCCATTCTGATCATAATCATCATATGCTTATTAATGAATGACTTCAAGATGATTTCCTATAATTCTAGTAAGAAACCATAACCAATGGAGTCCAATCCTTGTCGGATAGAGACAAATATCAGACAATGGTTCAATAATTGCGCAGCCATTCATAGATCGATAGAAGTTAGATATTAACATCGTTGGATACTAACTCAATCGTCTGGAGATTAAATATTCACACGTGAGACTTAATATCCCAAGTTCAAGTTCCCATGTACAGGATCGTGAATGTGTACTGCTAGAATGAAACAATCATCCAATGCTTCCAAGTTTTCCAATGATGATCTAGTTTACATCGATACATGAATTCAACTATTGAAAATTATCACAATTCATCACCGAACTCATTCTGATCATAATCATCATGTGCTCACTAGTAATTGACTCCAAGATGATTTTCTGTAATTCTAGTGAGAAGCCATAATCAATGGAGTGCAATCCTTGTCGGATAGAGACAAATATCATACAATGGTTCAATAATTGCGCAGCCATTCATAGATCGATAGAAGTTAGATATTAACATCGTTGGATACTAACTCAATCGTCTGGAGATTAAATATTCACACGTGAGACTTAATATCCCAAGTTCAAGTTCCCATGTGCAGGATCGTGAATGTGTACTGCTAGAATGAAACAATCATCCAATGCTTCCAAGTTTTCCAATGATGATCTAGTTTACATCGATACATGAATTCAACTATTGAAAATTATCACAATTCATCACCGAACTCATTCTGATCATAATCATCATGTGCTCACTAGTAATTGACTCCAAGATGATTTTCTGTAATTCTAGTGAGAAGCCATAATCAATGGAGTGCAATCCTTGTCGGATAGAGACAAATATCAGACAATGGTTCAATAATTGCTCAGGCATTCATAGATCGATAGAAGTTAGATATTAACATCGTTGGATACTAACTCAATCGTCTGGAGATTAAATATTCACACGTGAGACTTAATATCCCAAGTTCAAGTTCCCATGTGCAGGATCGTGAATGTGTACTGCTAGAATGAAACAATCATCCAATGCTTCCAAGTTTTCCAATGATGATCTAGTTTACATCGATACATGAATTCAACTATTGAAAATTATCACAATTCATCACCGAACTCATTCTGATCATAATCATCATGTGCTCACTAGTAATTGACTCCAAGATGATTTTCTGTAATTCTAGTGAGAAGCCATAATCAATGGAGTGCAATCCTTGTCGGATAGAGACAAATATCAGACAATGGTTCAATAATTGCTCAGGCATTCATAGATCGATAGAAGTTAGATATTAACATCGTTGGATACTAACTCAATCGTCTGGAGATTAAATATTCACACGTGAGACTTAATATCCCAAGTTCAAGTTCCCATGTGCAGGATCGTGAATGTGTACTGCTAGAATGAAACAATCATCCAATGCTTCCAAGTTTTCCAATGATGATCTAGTTTACATCGATACATGAATTCAACTATTGAAAATTATCACAATTCATCACCGAACTCATTCTGATCATAATCATCATGTGCTCACTAGTAATTGACTCCAAGATGATTTTCTGTAATTCTAGTGAGAAGCCATAATCAATGGAGTGCAATCCTTGTCGGATAGAGACAAATATCAGACAATGGTTCAATAATTGCTCAGGCATTCATAGATCGATAGAAGTTAGATATTAACATCGTTGGATACTAACTCAATCGTCTGGAGATTAAATATTCACACGTGAGACTTAATATCCCAAGTTCAAGTTCCCATGTGCAGGATCGTGAATGTGTACTGCTAGAATGAAACAATCATCCAATGCTTCCAAGTTTTCCAATGATGATCTAGTTTACATCGATACATGAATTCAACTATTGAAAATTATCACAATTCATCACCGAACTCATTCTGATCATAATCATCATGTGCTCACTAGTAATTGACTCCAAGATGATTTTCTGTAATTCTAGTGAGAAGCCATAATCAATGGAGTGCAATCCTTGTCGGATAGAGACAAATATCAGACAATGGTTCAATAATTGCTCAGGCATTCATAGATCGATAGAAGTTAGATATTAACATCGTTGCATACTAACTCAATCGTCTGGAGATTAAATATTCACACGTGAGACTTAATATCCCAAGTTCAAGTTCCCATGTGCAGGATCGTGAATGTGTACTGCTAGAATGAAACAATCATCCAATGCTTCCAAGTTTTCCAATGATGATCTAGTTTACATCGATACATGAATTCAACTATTGAAAATTATCACAATTCATCACCGAACTCATTCTGATCATAATCATCATGTACTCACTAGTAATTGACTCCAAGTTGATTTTCTGTAATTCTAATGAGAAGCCATAATCAATGGAGTGCAATCCTTGTCGGATAGAGACAAATATCATACAATGGTTCAATAATTGCGCAGCCATTCATAGATCGATAGAAGTTAGATATTAACATCGTTGGATACTAACTCAATCGTCTGGAGATTAAATATTCACACGTGAGACTTAATATCCCAAGTTCAAGTTCCCATGTACAGGATCGTGAATGTGTACTGCTAGAATGAAACAATCGTTCAATACTTCCACGTTTTCCGATGATATATTGATATTGATATTAATATAAGCTTTATTCAACATGATATTTTTGGTACATTATTGAATTCTCAGCATAAAGTATTTCAACAAGTTTCCTTTTCTTATATCTTGATCGATCCTGACAATGCATATTGAGTGATGGCCAGTTAGATGTTAGGAGTTCGATAATCAACATCTGAATAATGTTCATTCGTTTCAATGCATAATGCAAACCACCATGATGTTGCTGGTTGTACCCTCTTTGTAATCCGTACAGCGAAAAGTTGTAAACTTTTCATAAACGCGCCTGAATAGGTTGTGAGCTCAATAGACATAGTAGTGTGTTAAAACAAACAAGAAAACAGATAACTTGACGAAATATCTAGATGGAAGGAACAGGTAGCCCAGATATTCAAGCAGGCCGCCGATAATCTAGTATACATTGATATATGAATTCAACTATTAAAAATTATCATCATTCATCACAAACCTTATTCAAAACATTGAATATTACTATCATCATCATCATCATCATCATCATCATCATCATCATCATCATCATCATCATCATCATCATCATCATCATCATCATCATCATCATCATCATCATCATCATCATCATCATCATCATCATCATCATCATCATCATCATCATCATCATCATCATCATCATCATCATCATCATCATCATCATCATCATCATCATCATCATCATCATCATCATCATCATCATCATCATCATCATCATCATCATCATCATCATCATCATCATCATCATCATCAGTTCTATAGATCTTTTTCTTTATATACATCTATGTTTTCTGTACATAATAGACACGTGTAAACATGCATGTATGTATCACATTTAAACACTTACAAGTTGCTAAGCCAAAAAAGTACCTATACACATGGATACATACATACATATGTATATATATATATATACATAGATACATATACATTTTATAATAGATCTTTTCTATTGGTTATTTATTCAGTCACATAATCACATTGACAAAAATATAATAAATTAGTTATTGTCAATATATATATTATACTACTTAATACATAAATTTGTCCGTCTATCAGAATCTTGTTCATATTTAACTTGACCTTATGAGAAATGTATATTATTATGATTATTGTACGTAGGTGAGTTATATATACATATATATATATATATGTAGTTTAATACAAACAACTATACAATAAATAGTGTATAAACTATATTTAAAACATTAATACATAGATTATCTAGTATCTACGTTTAAAAGAAAAGAAAATCAAATTTACACTGGTAATAATCGCATAGCAACAACAACCACATCGACAACTGTATCAGTAACCGCGTCAACAACCACGTCAGCAATTGAATCATTAGTAATATTGATCTATTACACTGGAATTACTTTTAAAATATTGATATATATATATATATCTAACACGTAACTATCATTAACTCAATTAATAATAGAATAGTATAATCATTTTGGATTTATATACATCTATCTATCTATTTATCTATCTAATTGCCTATTTATATAAACATATTAATCTATATTCTTAAATAATCATTTGATCAAATATGGGATCTAAACTGTCATGTATGTCTAAACAATCTGAAGTAAGTCTTATGATGCAATAATAATAATAATAATAATAATAATAATAATAATAATAATAATAATAATAATAATAATAATAATAATCATAATTATCTTTGTGAATTGTATTAGTTACGTAATATTACATTTACCTTGAGTGAATTGTTTATTTCAATAGAGTACTTTATTGATCTAAAGGTAATTGATGTATACAATTAATGAAATAAATAATCAATAAATATTGATAAAAAAAAAGGGGTACGGAATACATCTGTGATACATAAGTTAGTGGATTTGTGTGTGCGTGTGTGTGTGTGTGTGGGATGAGATATTACTTGGGTGTCCAGACTGAAGTAGGTGGTTTTCTTAGTAGGGCCACAATTAGAGCAATCGACCTATAGGTTTAATTCATAAGGTAATGGAGTAATGTCAGGTGATATAGCCACATGATAGTCGGTGACTAATAATTGGTTTATAAGCTTTTTGTTTCATCAGAGTTCTGGGATGATGGTTTTCGAACTCCTCCAGAGTGGATCCTCCATACCCACTGACCCGGTTAAAGCGTCGGACATTCGATTTTCGTTCTCTTCATTTTGTAAGCAACACTAATACCGTGAGGAGGCAGTGAGAAGGACTTGTGTGGTAGTGGTTGTATGCATGTAATCATTTGAGAGCATTTGGAGAAGGAGAGTTGACTCTACCCACCCTCGGTCTTACCAGAGGATTTGAGAGGCCTTTTGTGATTAATGTAAGGCTAAATCAGTATAGTGAAAACATCACTCATTTGAACACAGGTACTAGTTTAAATCCTATATAGGCAAATTTCGGATAGTCTGATAGTTAATTACATACTTAAATGATGTAACTAGACATTATCCGATTCCCAATTTATAAAATTGAATAACGCTTGATTTAGATAACTAAGACATGTGTCACATGAATTTAACTATAAAATACTTCTAAATTTAGTAACAGAAGGGGTTTTGTGGATAGTATAGTAGGTTTAATGGTTGAGATCATGAGTCATTTGAAGCTAGACAAACATGAAAAACCTGTAAGAACTGGACGGCCGTTTCGTCATATTGTGGGACTCCTCACCAGTGCGCGTACACGACCTCGCCTCGCAAGACACGAATACAGGACCTATCAGTCTCGCGCGCGAGCACTTCACCACTACACCACTGAGTTGGCCGGCATCCAAAGGCGATAATGTCTAACTTCAACTAATCTATGAAATGGAGCGACACATCCACTATTGTCACCAGTGAGTTACTATCTCAAAACAGACACGGTTGAACTCCACTGGTCACTGTTTCTCACTAGACCTTCAGGATATACCACTTCAAGGCAATTACTAGTGAGCATATATTGATTAGTATCAGAAGGGGTATTTGTGGAGATTATAGTAACTTTATTAGTTGATATCATGAGCCAATTAAAGTTTGACCACCATGAAAAACCTAGAAGCACTGGACGATTGTTTCTTCCTATTGTTTATAGCTATCATACAGCTAAGTCGAAGACCCTCAAGTGATTGAAAAATATAAGACATAGTATTAGTACATAAAGTGTATTTACTATTAAAGTAAACCTCTTTGGAATGTGTATCGACTTGTAGATTAAATTCAGTGATTATTCTTATGATATATAATCCAGGATTTTAGTTAGGTGGTTGATATGGTGACAAAATATTCTATTACTGTTGATATTATGAATTTCAGGTTACGATTTTGTTTATAAGTTAACAAGTACTCATTAAAAATCAATAAATAGTAGTAAACTTCACCTTATCATTATCAATAAATTTCTGAAGTGCATTAGTCTAAATTCATTAGTTGGCTGAGACTGTCGTTTCCGGACGGTCAGTCAGTCAGTCAGCTACAACGTAGGATCAGGCACATATATGCATCGGTTCAAGTTGCCATACCTCATTAGCACAACAAGATGAACACCGAATACATAGGAGTAGTTAATTCATTGGTGGTAATATATAAAAGAGAGATTGCATATAACGATATAGAGCAGGAAGAAAGATTTGGTACGTAGAAAGAAAGATATGAAGCGATTTTAATCTCATAGTTTAAGAGAAGACAAAGAGTGTATACACTTACACCATTGTGATCGATTCTGAGCCATGTCACCAGAAGTCTCCAGCCACTGGTTACGATAGTCACACGGACCCTAACCAAGTAGTCTGCATCTATCAACATGGCTTAGACTAAAAGTTATTGTCTTTAAGCACTGATGCCACGTTTTGTTTTGACAGCCCCTAACTTTCTTCCAACCATGCCCAACACTAATTAGCATTGCACGTCGTGGTAATCAGCATCCAGGCATATGCAACATGTGGTCCAACCATCTCAGTCGATGAAAATTCACAACCTCATCTACTGATTTACCATCATTCCCTAATACCCTGAGTTTAACCTCACTATTACTTACCTGGTGATTCCTGCAGACGCGAGCAACATTTTTCTGAGGCATCTGTGGTCAAATACTAGTAGCTTACTCTTAATGGCCACGTTTCACAGTCGTAAAGTAGAACAGAACGAACTGCCGTGCAGTATACTCGTCCTTTTATTAATAGACGCTTATGTCGCCTTTGCCATTGGTGACGTAAGTTGGCAAAGGACAAACGACGATATTTGGGTGACTCCTAAGTGTCCTTGAGAGTGTCTACCTACTTACTAGGGTTAAATGAGTGTTATAAAGCAGTTTGAAGAATTCGGATTATGATTTACAGTTGATGGTTAGGGTTAGGAATTAGATTTACGGTTTTTCATCACGAACTAATATCAGCTATAATGTAAAAACACTATTTAGCTAAATAGATGAATAAATTCTGCGCGAAAATTCCAAACCTGCTATCGTAAATCTGATTGGTTCGTCTATGATTTATAGTCTCGACATTAGTTGTTTTAGAGTGTAGTGTCGGTTACTATGTTAATCCACATACTTTATTCTAACTTCTGGACAGGCCAATTTATTCATTCTTCTTGAGTCACGTCTTTGACCTTGTTAATTGTCCACTTCTCAACCCTGATTGTTTTTATATGAGCGTATGTATGTGTGCACAGTTTTTATCCTATTCATCACTTGTCTGTAGCTTATTTTTGTCTGACTAAATATTGATTAAATTGAGTTGGCTTACAAGACTACTCCACTGCAAGCTATTTCGTTTCATTTCGCTCTCTTTTCTTTGTTACCTTCGCTACGTCTCTTTAATTGTTTGTTCAGATCAACGAGTGTACAAAATATACGTATTCAAGAATCCATTCTTGTATTTGACTTATTTTCATTCCATTATTCACTAACGCGATTCATGTCAATAACTTTATACGAGAATAGAAGATATGTATATTTCAATAACAATCAATCATACAATCTTGGGCCACTAAAGTGGTGAACCCGTCGACAACATCGTCTGATCTAAATGACTTCAAAATGAAGGGTCCCACTAAAAGAGGTTGAGTATAATATTGTATTAGTTTAACATCATCATAGAACATTAGAAGTGACATATACTTAAGACTCAAATGTCAATATCTCAAGAGAGTTTTGATTTAAGTATTGATTTTCAGTGCATCTGGTCTCCGGAGACTTTACTCACAGTTATATAATATACTCTTGTAGGCTAGGGTAATTTTACGATGATTTTCAGGAGAACAGGACACCATCCAAACTTTCACGTGATAACCCTAACAGTACAGCTCAACCTCACATCACAGGAGAATCAGACACCATATAGGCTTCAACACTACAAACTAAATAGTATAGCTCAATTCTGTGGTGTAACCACACAGGTACCCAACACACTTGAGGACCATCTGAGACTTTTATGTAAAAGTTGATAACAGATTGAAAGGTATAAAGTAAAGACTTAATAGTTCCATTTATTCACTGTTAAGATTATAAGGTTAGTAATAAACAAAGTAATGATATATCTAACCTATGAATTTTCGGTTTCTAGTCCATAGGCTAATGGTTTTACTTATGAATTTAGGAATAGTTTTACCATTTCCAACTGAATTTCGATATTATTCTATTCGGTAAAACAATTTATTTGTTCACATTCGATGTCTGAAAACAAACAAAATGAAATGGATTAGTTGAAGTTAAACATTAACAGCATTGGATACCGACCAGCTCAGGGATCTATAGGTTGAGCGCTTAAGCGCAAGACTGATATGTTGGGGTAATCCAGAAAA